GAATGTTACTCAATTAATGCTCAGCCAGAGAGAACTTTACTCAATTAACACTCAGCCAGAGAGAATGTTGCTCAATTAACGCTCAGCCAGAAAATTTTTTCCCAATTGCCGCTTAGCTAGAGAGAAAGCTGCTTTATTGACGCTCAGCCAGAGAGAAAATTGCTCAATTGGCACAATTGACGCTCAGCTATAGAGAAATTATTCAAATCGATACTTAGCAAGAAAATAAAATATTGCTCAGCTTAAAATAATCTTTAAAATTAAAAACTAACCCAATATTAATAAATTAGAATCTAAACCAATAAAATCTGACACACAAAAAATGCCGCAAAAAATAAAAGCCACCTCTAATAATCTAGTAGCTATTAACTTCTAAAAAAATAAGTCAGGTGTTGAAATTTGCATATGATCTTTAATTTACTCGAATTCACACCTGACACATTTCTGCAACATTGTTTTAAATTTTTCCTCAATAAAATCTTGCAGGAATAGCGTCAATATTGTAACAAAAATCTTAAATGAGCTACAAAATCCTGATCTTAATGTGACTTGACATTGCACAAGCAGAAAATTTCTATTTTTCATTTCTTTTTTAAATTTAATTAATTTATTTCATTTTTCACATTTAAAAATAAGAAAAAGTCATTTTTACATTTGTTAGCATTTCATCCTAATTAGTCGCCACACACAAGACAAAAGACGATGAAAAAAAATGCGAGAACAATTTAAATAAATTTTTATATATTTTCTTAATTATATGCACTCATAAATTAGATAAAACTATCAAGATATGGCAAAACATTAAAATCTTAAATGAATTGACATCGGTTCCATCGCGACATATGTGGAAAAAAAGTTATAATCAAGAATAATTGTCCAATTCCATTAGTAATCCGACACATTTTGATATTCCAATTTTTTTGCTGATTAAAATCAAATCGTTTCAATATTTTTTTGCTTCTTTCCTCCTTTCCTTTCCTGCTCCTCCCTGAAGCTGTGTTAAAATAAAACTTTTTAAACGTCCTCATTAATTATTCGAAATCTCTTTTTCATTTCGCCTCACTCAATTTATATTAAAGCTATGGATACGGATATTTTTTTTAACGTATGGATAAATTTGCGCTGCCGAATGTGTGGAGTTGGAAGTAGAAAATGGTTAAGATCTTGAATTTTTAAGATTTTTGAGCGCTGTTTAAAGATTTTCGAAGATTTTTGGAAGAATTATTTGAAAATTCAATACTTAATTAGATTTTAATTCATTTTTATAAATGTATTCACCCAAATAGTTTCCATTTCATCCAAGTCAAATTGTTAAGCAAAAGGCTGTTCTCTAATAATGCTTATGTCTATACTTCGACTTAAAAACTAGTTCCTGTCCATATTAGCTATAGCTCAGCTATACTCCAAAATATATCTCCTAGAAATTCCATCTTACACTTGAAAGTATGACCTTAATTTCCAAATAATTTCTGCAAAAATAATTGACGATAAGAAATGAAGGCTGATCTGAATATTCCATTTTAATAAAACATCATTTACAAAAAACTTCAAAATAAATCATTGTTAAAATACTGCACAAGAAAAATTAAACAAAGAAAATTCCTATGTACAATACATGACTGCTGTAGGCTTCCGAATTAGCAACAGTGTCTGCAACTTAATAGACTCATAAATTGCTGAGGAGATTTATATCCGGAATCAGAATTATAAGTAGTAAAATGCAAACAAATTGAACAGCGCTGAATTTAAAGAATTCAACATTGGATCAATAAGGGAGTAATACAGGCCAGTTTGAGGTCGATCTAGTCCTGAATTTGGTAAATTGAGCTTCATGCAAGTCTCACGCGAGCTTAATGCCACCTTCGCTAGGGAATTTCATAGATTCAAATATCATTTTGTGGTTGTGACGTTAAAAAGAGGACCAAACAAGGATTTTGAACTCTGGCGACTTGGAAAAAGTTAAGAATTCCCATACAAAGTAGCACATAATTTTAATTTAACGAGAAATACCTTTGCAAACCCTCTGTTTTTTGGCACAGACACCAATTGACGTAAGTTAACTCTACTATTTGATTCAACTAAGCCCAACTGACGACCAGTCACAATTTTGACTGGATGTCTTTAGTTCAACTTCATAAAATAATCCTATTCAAAATTAATACCTAAAAGTGGCCATTATTATTACACATGTCTTATCTTAATGCATCCTAAAGTCTCTTACCTAAAAATTTTAAAATCCCAAATAAATTTCCCACAAAAACTCAAAAACGTAAAAAAATTAAAATGCATCAAATTTACATACAGATAGACTTATTATGATAATCGATACACAAACAGTAAAGCAGTCACTCAAAACAAAACGTATAGCTCCTCACTCTATCCACAAATGCTTTTTGAAAAATTGCCGAACAACCTCTCCATTTCATTAAAGTCAATTTTTCACGATTTGTGAGCGATATACATAAATATATAATTTTTTTTAAAATGCGCGAGAAAAAAAAAATCTTTAATATGAATGTAAAGTGATCAAAGCAAATCACCATGTAAATTTATATTATAATTAATTAATGCCTCGACCAAACGAGGCAAGAAAATGAACAAGCAATCAGACACTGGCGGACAGGCAGAGAGACAATCAGTAATGCCTTTTTATTCAGCTCAGCAGTCTTAATTTAATGCCATAAAATTAATCACAGATTTTTTTTTCGCTTGCCTTCCATTTGCTTTAATCTCGACTGCTACGTGTTTTCAAACGCTTTATTATTATTGATATTATTGCTTATTATTGCAACATGTTCCGACATTACTCTCGTTAATTATTATGATATTCAATTATTGGCTGTTTGACTTGCGAAATTTAGTAGCTGGAAATGAGCTTGTGATGGAAATGAGGGGTTTGGAAGTGAAGTTGTTGGACTTTCAGGGGTTGGGTAAGGAGTGTTGGGGTGTCTTAGACTAGTTGATTTGAAATTTCAATTTTATAATCTTAAATTTAACGTTTTTCAAAATTTTGATGACTTTTTTACAAAAATTGAAAAAATTCTTAAAATTATATAAAATTGAAAAAAATAAGTTTTTACAAAACTCAAACGACCTCCCCAAAGAAGGCTCTTTACCCACCCAATCCTTCAATAAATCAAATTATCTCGACTCATTCCTCAATCTGTATAACTTAAAACAATAAATATTATGTATGGACGAGATGCAATGTGTTATTATAATGAGAGATATTTCATTCACTATAATTTATAGCATAAAAATAACTAGCAACTTTGTGAATTAATTATTATTAATTATAATTGATGATTATTGCATGAAATTTCTTATTTTACTCATTTATGACTTCAGACTAGCTTGTTTATTTGAACATTAAATATAACATTAATTAATGGATGATTTTGAAATTTGCATGATGAAAATGTGGATTGATGGATTGATTTGAAGCAAAGGGTTGGTAACTTTTGTGATTTTTTTAAAAAAAACTTTTAAATAGAATTCAAGTTTTAAAAATGTTTTTGAATTTTTTTAAAAAAAATTGAATTTAAAACAAATTCAAAAAACAATTTTTTACTTTAAAAAATTCAATTAAATCATATATAATTCTCAAAATCAATTACAAAGTTGTACCACAATTTTAACAAACCAAGCCAAATAACCCCACAGCCACGGAAGTAATTCATTAAATAAAATTAAAATCGAAAACCGTAAGACAGTTACAAAATGTTAAAATATTCAAGCAATCAAGTTGAATTAATTTATTGATTGACTAATTAACAATTTTAATTCATTCATAATTTATTTACAAATTCACAACAAACATTTGACGTTGACAAGCTAAAAACACATTCGAATAATATGAAAATTGGCATTTTAAATTCATCGATGACATTATTTACGAAAATGTGTGGAATGAGTCGAATAAGAGTCCCTTGTGCAGAATTTTGAACAGTTTCAATTTTGATAAAAAATCAAGTTTTTATTATTTTAATTTTTTTGAATTTTTTAAAATATTTTAAATTAAATTTGAATTTTCTTAATTTAATTTAAATTTTCAAAACCATTTAAAATTTTCTAAAATCATTCCAAATTTTCAAAAATGATTTTAAACGTTTTAAAATATTTTCTCAATTTTTTAACCTCAAAACCTAGCTTCGACTCAATTTTCACTGACAAAATCCCCCTAAGGCCACTAATATCCCCATTCATTTAATTCAGATCTCTCATAGATAGATACATTTAAATTAATTTATGATCCAACATTTCCATTTCAATTAATCTCCACACAAATGTCAATAATTTATTCACATCATTTATATCCACTTAAAATTAATCTAATTTCAATTTTTTTTTTCGTAGCATGAAAAGCGCTCGAAAATGTCATAAATAATATTTTTGTGTGCACATTTTACGCCTACTCGTGAGCATTTTGTGTCTCTGGTTAATTTGTGTTTGCTGTTATTTATAATTCAGCCAGTCAATAATTGCGGTGCTTTGGTAAATTTTTTATAATGAATATTAGCAGTTTGTAATTATCGACTGTGTCGACAATTAATTTAGATGAATATAATGAGATATTTTGCACTGAGTGTGATGCATAGTAATGAAAATTATTGCACTGAATAGCGATGAGGTATCATTTAGGGCAACTTTGAGGGTATGCAACTGCAAAGAACTCTTTTTTAAATATGTTGAGCCTCAAGAAGGTATTTTTTTGTCATTTATGATGTAAGTCTCCATAAAAAGCTAGCGTGGCACCCTAGACCCCCTCCAAATGCCCACATTAACAGTATCCCTCCTAATATTACTTCTCCAGAACTTCATTAGCACCATCTACACCAAAAATTAATTTACAATCCCTAATTATTCCATTTATTTCTCCATTAATGACTTATAACTACATTTTAATGCTTAATTTCTTCATATCAAATTTATTGTGCTCCATAATAAACCAAAAACGAGGCCCACATTAAAGTATGAAATATGGAATATACAATGTCTGTTTATATTTACTCATGAAGCATTTAGAGCAACATTTTTTTTGCATTATTAATTTATGGAAACAGATTTTTGACAGCAAACATGGTTAATAAATAATATGAGGCAGTATTAAAAAAATTTATGGTGTACTTTTAGAGGTGGCTGGCATATTGATAGGGGGAGAATGAAGGCTCTGACTATAGCAGAATCAGGCGCATTGGCATTGACTGTTGTATGTTTGTTTTGTGTGAACTGTTCCAATCTTTTCTAGGAAAGAATTATGGATTGCTGGGTGGTTGATGTGGAAGTTAAGAAACATGTTGGTATTGTTTTTGATTTGTCCGATTAAGTTCATATGTTTCTGAAGCTACGCTTCATCGTGTTGCACGGAAACTGAGGCTTAACTGAAGTAGAACTGTAGCTGAGGCTTAGCTGAAGTAGAACTGTAGCTGAGGCTGAACTGAAGCTGAATTGTAGCTGAAGCTAAACTGAAGCTGAGCTAAAGCTAAAGCTGAACTGAAGCTGAGCTAAAGCTAAGGCTGAACTGAAGCTGAGCGAGAGCTGAAGATTAAATGAAGCAGAACTGTAGCTGAGATTGAACTGAAACTGAACTGTAGCTGAGGCTGAACTGAAGCTGAACTGTAGCTGATGCTGAACTGAAAATGAACTGAAGCTGAATTGTAGCTGAGGCTGAAGCTGAATTGTAGCTGAGGCTGAACTGAAGCTAAGCCAAAGCTAAGGCTGAACTGAAGCTGTGCTAAAGCATAACTAATGCTGAACAGAAACTAAACCTGATCCGATGCTTAGCGTAAGCTGAACTGAAACTGAGGAGAAACTGAGTGGAAACTTAGGAGAAGCTAAAAAGAAGCTTAGCTGAAGCTTATCAAAAGATGAGCTTCACTTGAGTGCCAATATGAAGACAATAGCATCTGAAAATGAGCTACCACTTTGTCTAATTTAACGGTCAAAAGTTCATGAAATATGCGTCTAATTCCAACAATCCCCAAACCCCACAACAACCAACTTCCAGAAATAAAATTAAACTCACATGAATCTCTCAACCCAAAAGTTCTCTAGGCAAAATCAGAAACCAAATGAGGAAGAGAAAGAGAAAGAGAAGGAGAGATATATCATGCGATATAAAGTGTGAGGAGGCATAAAGAGCAGTGGAAAGGCAACAACATTATTATTTTTTATGGCCATCATAAATTATGTTTATAAATTTTCCGTTGTCGAGGCGAGAGTGAGCAGTAGGATGAGAAATTGTGGCTATAATGTTTCATATTTCTCTCTCCATCTCTCTCCCCTTTTACTGGCCATTTATGTTTGCATTTTGCCTCATTCAGTGTTATTGCGATAATGTCTCATCTCCCATTCTTTATTCTCAGCTCTTTTTTTGTTGTGCTTGCTTCTTATTCCTCATTTTTTATATGTGCATCATATATAACACATTGTAATATAAATAATGGTCGTTGCCGGATCATAAATAAGTGTTTATGAGGAAAACGGCGGCTGAGCTGAAATTCTTTTTTGATATCATTGCTTTCTGTATTCACACCGGATTGTTCATGGTTTTATTAAGAAAATGCTTGAATAAAACAGAATCTAACAATAGCTTGTAATTATAAGCAGGCACAAGGACGAGTTGTCCATATTAAAAATTGGTTCTTTAATTCTTCAAGCTCCTTTTGTAGCTCTTCAGTTGTGGTTTGAAGTTTCTGATTCTCATCCTGAACATCAGCAATCAGTAACACTTGATTTTCTAAATCTTCTCGCAAATCTTCATTTTCTTTTAATAGGTTTTCAATATCTTCCTGCATGTGTTGCTTATTTTCTGTAAGAATATCAATTTTATCTTCCAATTCTTGATTCCAATCTTCAAGTTTACAGACTCTATCGTCTAAGTTTCCATCAATACAACCTGGTGAAAAGGTGGGATCAGTGGTTGTGTCTATTGTCGTTGTTTCATCTGCATTAATGAATATTATTTAATAAAGGATCATAAAGGATTATTTTAATACGAGAAGTCATGAGACTTAATAGAATTTAGAACATTCTTTCTTGTCAACCCTAATCTTCTCTCCCAAGGATGTAGAACCAAGGATGTGAACGGCCCACTTATTACGTTACGCAAAAAAACGTTCATAATTTATTTTATTTTGATAATTTTTACAAGTTTTTTAGAACGTTACATACTTCTTGACGACCCCCCCCCCCTCCCCTCCTAAAATGCGAACGTAATAAGTGAACAGCCCCTTATTGAAACGATCAAAAATGAACGAAACTTGATTGATCAAGACCAAACTTTTGATCCCCCTCCAAACACAAAAGACCATCGGCACAAACTTACAATCTAAGGCTTAACATTTAAATTCTTACCAGGATACAAAAGTTTATAATTTTCAAAGCACTTCTGCAAAGCGTTCCTCATAACATCCCTCGAAGTTGAATTATCAGTGATATTGACATTAGCACATGTGTTGTTCCTCATATCAATATAAGTAACGCCAGTATTATTAATAAGTCTTTCATCGATGGCATCAATTTGATTATTGGTAAGATAAATATGAGTTAAGTTTAGTAAATATCCAAACGATTCAGAATGAATTTCTTTAAGCTTATTATGTTCTAAATAAATTATTTTTAAACTTTTTAATGAACTGAAGATGTTATTGGGTAATTCTTTGAGCTCATTTGCGCTTAAAGCAAGCATTTTTAAATTAACCATGTTGTTGAATGCATTTGGTGGCAGACTTTCAATTTGATTTACGGCTATCCAAAGGTCTTCTAATTTTGTAAGATTTCGGAACCAATTCCTTTTCATCACCTTAATTTGGTTTGACCAAAGGTCTAATTGAAGGAGATTGTGGAGTGGAAGAAAAATATCATCTCCTAGATCAGAAATTTCATTATTATTAAGCCATAAGTACATTAATTTATTTTGATTTCTGAAAACATTTTCGTGTAACGATTTTATGCGATTATTCCAAGCACTAATAAGGCGAAGTTCAGGATTCCCAACAAATGCGTCTTCGTCAATCTCCATGCTATCTCTTTGAAATAAATTATTAAGGTATATTTCAATTTTTTTGAGCTTGCTACAATATCGAAATGAATCCTTGATAGATTTGATAACAGTTTCTGTTATGAAAACTTCAGTGGGGTTTTGAAATGTCTCACAGACTATTGGCGGAGGTGTTGTTGTATTTTTAAGAGAACCATACGCAACTTTTGTGACGTCTTCATTAGTCATCTCAGGTAAATGTGTTCCTGTAATCTCGGTAAAATTAGCAAGTCCATTTGGATTATCTACTTTAAGAAAGCAAGAGTAAACAGATTGATGACCAATGCTAAATGAACAATTAAGCTTTTGTCCACAGGCTTGATGGTAACTTATTGAAATAAATATTATCAGAGCAGCAAATTTTGAATCCATTATTAAAAGTCGAATTGAATTCGATTACTGAAATATTGTTGAATTTTCCATCAGTTTTATAAGTCTTTCGTCGTTATCAATGTTCAGGTTTTTTAATTAACCTTTCTGAGAACTGATTTGGATCTTTATTGAACAATTGGGGGGTTCACTTATAGATGCTTAAAAATAGGTAATAAATGATGTTTAAAGCAATTGAAAAAAATTTATAATTATTTTAAATATTTTATCTGAACTGATAAGTCAATTAATTCCCTTACATTTAGAGGACAGATAAGGTCAAACTCAGAAAGACACAAATAATAAATATGACCCCAATGAAGATTTTTCAGTAACACCCCTCGGGGTCGTTCACGTATGACGTCCGATATTAATGGTAATTTTTCAAAAAAAGAACATTGGAATTCCAGGAATTTTTTTGGTTCTTTTCTTGCAGACCCCCCCCCCCCCCCCACCTTCCAATCTCCTGCACGTCCTAAAGGAACAGCCCCCTATCAAAAATCCAATAGCTCAAAACGATGACCTTGATTACACTAAAATCACAAATAATCACCTCAATCTAAGCTTTCACTAAATTTAATCAGCCATAACCCCTTCAAAGCTTTACGCTAATCGGCATTTTATTGATCACAGTCATAAATTTCAATTTAAATTCCCCGCAAGTATCCATCATATCAGCACATTACATAAATTATAATACAACAAACTTTTCAGCAACAATAAAAAACTAATTTTAGTGCTCATTGTATGCCAAGAGTCGTAAAAAAAAACACGGCAACAATAGACATATCCAGCAGTCCATTATTATTCACCGTGTCCATAGACTCAAATAATTTTTCATTTCTCGCTTAATTTTTTTATGTAATCCACAGTCAATTCACAACAAAAGGCATTCAATCATTCATGCATTGAATGGTCAATAATGTTGGTCAATTTAGTCATTAGAGAAGGTTAACAAATGATTAAGCTACCGTATAGGATGGATAGACAATAGATATTTTATACTAAATATTATTAATTTTCCGTGATTATGTTTTTTGTGTGCTTTTTGTGGTCGTTTGTTTTTGGGTCATGAATAGACGATTTCCTGGTATTTCTGAGAGATTGTTTAGGCTGGGATTGAAGCTTCTCAGAAGTGAAATTTGAATGAAATATGAACTGGTTAATGCTTTTGTGACTAAAGATTCGATAGCTGCATCACTTTCTTAATTTAGTTGGTGGTAGGCGCGTAACCAGAGGGGGGGGGGGGGGGATTTTGGGGACAAATCAAACCAGACGTTAACAGAAATTTCTTCATTTTGCTAGGAGTTTTATGAAAAAATCATAAAAATCCCCCCTTCCCTCTGGATTCCCCCCCCCCCTCCCTCTCTTCAAATTCCTGGCTACGCTCCTGGTTGGTGGTCAACTATGAACAGCTGTGGAGTCAGAACTGACAGTGTTTTGATCAAAGGCCTACTTACCTTTATGCCATCTTACCATTGTAAAGGTAAGGGGTCGTTCACTTATGACGTTCATCAAAAAATCTGATTTTGGACCCTGTCACAAAAATTCTATAAAAAAATTTCCATTGTTTGAACTGTCAAAAAATCCTAGACCCCCCCCCCCCCAAAAGTCGGACGTCATAAGTGAACGGCCACTAACGCTTATTTGGATAATTAGTCAAACAACAGACCAAAAATTGGTTACCCTAGCTTACAAAGACATGAGTCCATGAATCGCATTAGATACCAATGTTTCAATCAGTACAAATAAATGACTCATATAATTTACAAATCTCCACACTTTCAAATTAAATAATCAATACTAATTCCCAAAAGAAAACCCCCAATCCAAAAATCAGTAGTCAATCAAAAGTTCAAAACTCATTCATCGTCTTCAGCGCCAGCCGTTCCATTCAAACATAACAAATGACTTTGTATCACAAAAGTGGCAATAATATATTATTAAAATTGGGTTTTAAAAATCCACAAGCTAAAGAAAAACAACTTTTTAAGGTAAATAATGAAGATTGAACATTCATAAATGATGATATGTTAAAAAGTAGTCACACACAGCACATTCGATCGTCATTAATCATTTAGTTTCGATTCATTTATTTTTCACGTCTTTCACTTTTTTTTTTGTGGAATGACAGTTAATGGCAGTCACACAGTGATTAAGGAATTGGCATTGATGTATTTGTGATGAATTGATGGAAGGTTCGAAGATTTGTTAAAGAAATGTGGAAAGAAGATTAAATTTTATGCAATTGGAGGCTATTGTTGGGTAATTTGGGGATTGTTGATGTGGATTGAATCCATGATCAGTTTAAGATCTGGATGCTGAGGCTGTGGTGTTCTAGGATTAAGTTTATACCAATAATTGAGTTTTGACTCTAGCAAGGAACATTTTTCTGCAGTGTGAGGTGCATTATCGACTATTGTAACCCTCAAGGATTCTAAGTCTCTTAAAAATTAAATGCCCATCCTTCAAATTCTCACAAAAGAACAACTATAGGAAATCGATAAGCCATCGACAACCTTTCACTAACCTTAAAACTACAAACCATTCCAAAATTATTTACAGCTCTTATGCACGACACTAAGCGAATCTAATCCTGATGTTTTCTTGCTGATTGATTAAAAATCTTTTTTTATGATCGTTAATTAATTTTTTTTCACAGTCTTTGAGCCTTTTTAAATGCAAAATTGAAAGATTTGCATTGCCAATGAGTGACTGGTGTGGCTGTTGATGATTTATTTTGAGTATTGCCATAAATTAGTCACTTCTCTTGACTTAATCTAACAAGAAAATTTGCATATTATGAGGAAATATTGTGAAATGTTCAAGATTGGTTTACAAAAAATTCAAATTAGATGCAAAATTTATTATTTTACTATTCAGACAATAAATTACTCATTGACGTTTTATCGATAATTTATGATCGGTTAATTTATTAGATAACTCGACCATAACAATTTTTTTGCATAAGATATAGATTAGTTTCATTAAATATCGCATATCTTATCGAAAACGGATTTTTATAGCTTTTAAGTTTTACAAATTAATAATTTATTTATGGCACGGGTTTCTTGAAATGCATTATTGATATAGATATTGAGGAATATTGAGGTTATTATGCGAATTAATTAGAGCAGCGAAGCATGTTGTTGGAGCTCTTCTAGGTTCATATTAGGAGATCTTAAGGTTTGAAATGTAGGTCTTATCAGGGTCAACATTAAGGTTACTTTAAAATTTACATTAAGGATTCGTTAGGAGCCTTTTTAGGAGCAACATTAAGTTTCCATGAAAGACTTATTTTGGAAGACATGAGGCTGAAATGATTGGCTGAAGATTGCCAACATGCGACCCTCTTTAAGATTGACATAGGGAACTTTCTGTGTTCTTTTATAGAATCAACATTTGGGGGTCTTAAAAAGTTGACCTAATTAACAGAGTAGGTAGGATATTAGGGGATCTTAAGAGGTCTCATGATTGGTTCCGTAGAATTGACATTAAGAATCTTTTGAGGTCGACATGAGAGACTCTTAGGTTCGGTATTAGCCACTTATTGTAGCTGACCCAAGAGATTATTTAAGTTCCAACTCTTAGGTGCGAGCATGAAATATTCTAAAGTTTAACTCTTTTCAGAGTTTGAAGTCGAATCGAGATTTTCATCGATTTTGTAAGGCGGAGTTGACTCCATCCAAAATTTCATCAACTTCGAGATCTGTTTTTTTTTTTGGGTTCAAAACGACATAAGACACTCTTGATGATTATTATGATGGACTGTTTACATGGGAATTATTGGAATTTAGAGTTGTAGCTTCTATGCCAATATGATGTACTTCTACTACTAAGTAGACTTAAAAAACTCTCTAGAGATTAGATGCAGATCAAAAAGACGATAAATCTCACAATCCCATAAATACATTCATCATTAAAACAACTCCAGCCTGCATCACTGCATCATAATCTCAATAATTCACCCATAAATCCTCCCATCATCAGCATACAATTTACATATTAAATAACATAAATTTATTGCCAATAATTCATTACACAACTCCCAGCGAGCAATACAACACAAAAAAAAAAAGAAATTTTTGTTCATGCTTAATTTTCAAATTACAATAAAATCAAGCTGCAATTTTTTTTCTGCCTCTCCATGCAATTTCCTTTCCCTTTAGCAGCTCTCTCACATTTCTTTAATACCTTAAATAATTCACTTCCATGAATTTCTCACATGAATGTGCAAAAAGTAAAATTTAAATGAAGTAGGCATGAATTATGAAGCATAACAAATAAGGTGCAATAATTCACTTTTCTGACTTGCTTTTTTTTTGTTCATGTTTTTTATGCAGTTAATGCATTGGCGAATAATTTATCGTCTTTTGTGAGGCAATGGAGAGATTCTATGCTGTGCAATTAGAAATGCCTTTTTTGGAGTTACTTTAAATGATTTCAATGGCGGGAAAATAGCTGAGAATTTATTGCGAATAATGCAGGCTTCTGAATTGATTTCTAGTTCTTGGTATTTTGGTGTTTTTGCATGTTTGCATCGGAAATGATGCATGGGAATTTAATCAAGTTGTAGCTAAATTTAGATTAATGCTGAATTTTATGAGTTCTAAGAATTATGAGAATTTCAAGTGGTCGGCAGAGTTCGATGTCAATTAAGATTTTAAATTCTAGTCTAGTCGACCTTACTTATACAAAATCTTCGAAAATTTTGGTATTCAAAGGAAGAACTCGGCTTCCTGGATTGATTTTGTGAATTGTGCATCTTACACAGAGGCTGTTAAGTTCAATGGTTCAATTTCATATCCTTTGGTTCATCGCCGACTCCTTCAAATCAAGTTTTATTAATACTAATGCTTTATAAAGTCCCACGCAGCTCAAGACCCTCTTCGCCTCTTTACTTTATACTCCACACATCTATAAAATTCACTTAAACAACTGAAAAATTCCTAAAGCACCCAATATCGAATAAGGGAAATTCCAAACATTCTCATATCTTGTTAATATCTCTATTGACGTTATTTCACTGTCATTCTGACAATGTGTTAATAATTATTTGCTGATAAAAAGCCTGTCGAGTTAAATTTGACAACTTGACACACTCTTGATACTTCTTATCAATATTTTGGTATCAAATTTCGCATTAAAATGAAAATGTAGGTTGCACGTTTTCGATGAAAAATGTCATGTGATACACGTGTGGTTGATGTTTGGTGGATTAAAAATTGTTTTAGAGGATATGTGATGGAATTTTATCGGGGGGTGTTGATGGACATTTTGAGGTTATGATTTAACAATGTAAAATTTATAAATCACCTCAAAACATAGAACAAGCTGTCTAAAATTGAATCGAATAATCAATCAATGAAACCTTCCCACAACATCCCCTCCATACCCCCTTTTCACATTCAACATTAA